AGTTGTGTTTCGTTTACCCGGGTACGAGAATGTGCTAGAAATGAAGGCGCTCAGTGAGGAATCAGAACATCCACTTAAGTCTCCTAGAACAGAAACTTGTTCGTTTAGTGGTGAAGTTGGTTCAAAACCATGACGATCGTAGAAACGGGAGCGCAATTCAGGCACAGGTACCAGGGCAAAAACGAAACGGGACATTTGCAGGGCGACGTGGAAAAGTCTTGAATTGCGAAGAACAGCAGAATATCCGTTATCTTCTTGTACCATCCTCGAAGAAAACACCTCCATCCAAAGCGCAATATTTTGGGCAGATACCTGCAAAGACCATGTATGTACCCACAGCATAAACAGAATTTTCCTTTGTAATAAAGAGCGCGTTGTACCTCGTTCTCCTTGCGGGCCAGGTTGTCCGGGTTGTCCAGCGGGTCCAATCTCTCCAGGGGCTCCTTGTGGTCCTGGTGGTCCGGGTGGACCTTGCGGTCCTGGCAGTCCATCTGATCCTGGGCGACCGCTCTGGCCAGCCTCTCCGGGGAGGCCGGGTGGTCCAGGCTCTCCAGGTGCGCCTGGATCTCCAGGAATAGCAGGCGTGCTGGAAAAGTTGAAGATTCGCACAAATAAATGGAAGAGCTTCTCTGCAACTAAATCTTACCTGAATGCTGGTCGGCCTGGTTCTCCTCTAGGTCCATCTCTTCCATTTTCTCCGGGTGGTCCGGGAGGTCCAGGAGGTCCTTAATAAAGAGTTCGCTAACTCAAAATTTTGGAAAGGGATCCAAATATAAGCTACCTTGTGGTCCAGGTGGTCCGTCATTTCCGTTGCGACCAGGATGACCCGGTTGACCTGGGCTTCCTAAAAAAAGACATTTTGCAGCAATAAGAGAGGAAATTTTAGTGCAAAAATTTGGCGATTTCCTAATAATCATGATTGGTGCAGCACTCACCTGCATCTCCTGGTGGTCCAGGGGGTCCTGGTTCTCCAGGTGGACAAGGATTGCAAGGAGGTTCCGTTACTTCCTCACAAACCCTTAAAAGAATATATTAGTTTAGTATGAAGCATATTTTAAGAACGCTTTAATATTTTGCTTGTTTTTTTATTTCGAATTCTTACTTATTTTTATCTATGTGCATTTTTAGTTTTTCTAATAATTAACGAAAGAACATACGAACTTGCAGATGTTAATATACTTTGAAAACCGAAAAA